CTGCCAAATTCCACAATCGACCATAGTGTTTAATTGAATTATCCTTCAATTTTGAACAAATTGCTGAAGATTTCTAGAGTTGAAATAAGTTTTTTAGATATTTTGAACTACGCAGACATTGCTAGCTGCATATCTTTTAAAAAAAAGGTTCCTAATAACTATATTATGTTCAAAATCAAGTTTCTAGGGAATCTAGGGAATTTTGTGTATTATGTTTGATTTCTAGGGACATTTGTGACAGATGCTATGTCATTCACCAGTTTCACAGGGCAACCGTTCAATGTTCATTTCTGGGGATGGATAGAATCATTAGAATCTCATGCAATTTCTCATTTTCAATTGATCTGGAAAAATTTTCACAATCATTGAACGAACGTCTAGTTTCAGTAACAAGCCTAGCAGTTTATGCAACCAACAGAACAAACAGAAAAAAGTAAATTCTGTCTGATCCAGAAGATGCGACTGATGCAGACTGGCAACTCCAGGTCGGGGTGCCAAAGAAGAGCCATATTTTTTTTTAGTTTTGCTTATATGCGCTCTCAGTATTTTTGACCATTTAATAAATTTTGTTGTAAGTTACATTCGTTTAATAATCACCCGTCAACTTTTTCTTCCCTAAAGCGATTTAAAAAAAAAATATTGCCATTTTTAAAAATATCCCTAGACTTTCCGATGTGGTATATGTTGATCGAATGCAAAACACATTTCAATTTCTCACCTAATTCAGAAAAAATATTTATTGAAAGATTGAAAGTATAATTTTTTCACCTTAGTTAAAAATCTTTCGCTTTCTATGCATGTCTGAAAGTTATTTTTTTTCTTGAAACATTGAACAGATATTTTTCTCAACAGTCTTACCTACATGCATTCTGAAGATATCTGAAATATATTCAACATCAGTTGAGTCCAAATCGAACGCGAATCACTAAATTAAACGCATACTCTATAGATTTCAGGATTATACTGCACTCACCTACATACGTTTTTTTTTTTTAATGACTGTTTTGGGTTTGGTTTTGATTATAATTGGGTACATTCAAATTATGGTATCAATGTGATAAAATTACGATCCTTATGCATATATCGTGGTTCTTGATTTTGGAACCTTGACACCAACTTGGTCTTTCATTAATTTTTTTGACACAAAATAATTTGGCACTACCATTACTCACTTTCATGTCATTCTACAGCCATATTAACAGTTTGAAAACTTCAATAAAGGCAAATAAATCGATCTAGAATATATTCATGATAATAACCTTCAAACAGTTTTAAAGTTTAAAGAAAACACAGATCGAATTAACCAATAGCAATGGCCGATGGCGAATGGTTTTATGGTGTTAATGGGTCTTCAAGGTAGCCAATTGTCTCAAAATTTCACTCAACATTTTAATGCAGAATTATGAAAAATTAGAAACAATGAAATAATAAATTCAAGTACTTCATCATATTTAAACTTCTTAAGTATCATAGGGCTCTTCTTAGAGCTTCAATGAGTTCAAAACTTCAACTTCCGCCATTATTCCCACGTAGTCTAAGCAAGCGCATGGACTATTGGAATATGACAAAGTACGTTATGATACATTACGTTATGATGTTTTACGTTATGATGAAGTACGTTATGACGCATTACGGATTACGATTACGAATATGATGATGAAGTACGTTATGATGATGGATTACGTTATGAAACTGTACATTATGCAGCTGTTCGTTTCTATCTTGTACTATATGATCAATTGCGATTTATATCGTTTGACGTCATGATGGAGTAAATTTCTGTGTATTACGATTTCTATCTTGTACAATATGATGCAAAGGTGTGCCCCCTTTGAATCACCACGTTTCGAGGCGGTTTATTGAGAGAAAACAGTGTTATCACAATTCTGATATGTTCAAATTGGAAGGGGAATATTTTTAGGAGATATAATTTCTTGGGGAAGATAGGTTTTGGCTTTCTACGTCTCCATCTCAATACAAAAAGAACTCTTTAATGAAATGTCTAATTACCACTATTTGATTTTATTTATACGACCGGGTTTGGGTTTGACCCCATTATCAAGTATAAAACTGAGATGTGAACTTTGAAAACTCGGTTTTATCAGGAGTAAGGACAGGTACGAGTACTTGATAGACAGGTCCTTGGGCGAACCAGAATGCCAACTTTCAAATTCATCACTGAAAATTCTAGGGGTTGTTAAACTTATAAATTCAAGAGAGAAGACTTACATAAATCGAGTTGCTCTTTTAGGGGTATATATTACTGGTTTTCAATTTTCTTCCCTTTTTTACATATGTGTAGGATCTGTATTTATCTTGTGTTTTGATTCTTGAAGATGTTCGTACATTGTAGATTTTTTTGTCCAAACAGACGTGTTCACGCAGCCTTATGTCAAAATTTCTACCGGTTTGGCCTGTATATACTGCAGAGCATTCGCCACACTCTATTCTATATATATCTGATTTTTTCATTTTATCCCGTTTGGGTTTTGCATTAAACAATGTTCTACCAAAATTATTATTGCTCATGAAAGCTGTTGATATTTTGTATTAAGAGAAATGATTAATTAGGTTATAATCAGTACCAAGATACACTTTAATTATGTAACGTTTTCTGTTGAAATGCAAGTTTTATGTATAAATCACAATTTTTGCTGGTATTACTTAAGTCTTACAACAGTAATAATGAAACAAAGTTTAAAATTAAACATAAAATTTAAATTAAAAAAAATAAAAAATAAACTCTTCTAGAAAATAAACTGATCTAGGTAGTTATGCTTATATTAGTGATACCAATTATTTTAATGAGATCGTTTGAAATACGTAGGTTGTATCAAAATTATCGTTTGGTACATACATACTACTATACTACTGAAATATACTTTCATAGTAGGAAATATAATAACTGGGAATCAAACCAGCATTAGTGAGGCTCCTTATATCAGTTTTCTTTGTTTCGGATATTTACAATTTACGCTGATAAAGCGGTTTGAGTTTTGTATGACGATTATTTCTATTTGTTCTTTTACTCAAATCAAGCTCTTTAAAATCATCAAAATACGATATCTTGTACCATATTTTAATCTCATTATGTTAATTTTTCTCAATTTTGATAACTTTTATGTCTGACAACTTTACAATTTGGCCATCTACATCTTTATTCAGTCTAGGAACTGGTAGTTGTTTTATATCTATGAAATCACCGTAACTCATTTCATTTACAATGAAAGGTATACCACGTTTTTTAGCGCCTCGAATAGTAGAAATATATTGCGGAGGCACGTATATGGCCCCAGATCTAAGACATCGTTCAACTTGTTTCTCTATTACAGAATGTACAGCATCTCCCTCATTCTGAGTATGACCGCGTATCAGGAACTTATGTGTTATAGACTTAATTTTTCAGTATTGGACTGCGTAAATATACACTCCGATAATAAACTCTTCTGCTGACCACAGCAATTATCAGCTATAATATCCCAAGGACATTGATAACTAACGAAATAATTTTATCACAGTTTTCGAAAGCACGTTATTTGGTAACATCCCGACGCCGAAGGCGGAGGGATGTTACCTAAAATAACGTGCTTGAGGAAGTTGTGATAAAATTATGAGTTATTTATCATCAGTGTAATGATGGTTTCATTGGTTATTTCGACACACATGACTAGAAATAAACAAATTTGATAGGATAATTTTTTTGGCAAAAAATTTTCAGAGTTAAAAGTTATGTCCAGATATTAGTCGGCACAAGAAGATTTTTTTTGCAAGTATTTTAATACACAAGTACCTATTTTATCTGCTCCTCGGTGTCCTTAAGATTCATCCCAGAAGAAGCATTCAGTTTTGTCAAGTTCAAGCTCAGAGATGTTAAGTTCAAGCAATTTATTTTAGACTCATAATGAAACGTAGAAATCTCTAGTTGTTGACAAACTGTTTGAATTGGATGTTGAGCCCTCAGGATCTGAAGACGCTTATTTAACAAAATGAAACATTTTCATCCTCTTAACTTTATAGTATTACTGCCACTAAGAGGAATATGACACTCAAACAGTGATTTAAAACATTTATATTTTAATAATTTTACCATAATTTTGTTTAAAAACGGACACTGAAAAGAAAATGCCTGTTTCTATTCACAAAAAAATGGCACTATGGTTATAATGCCATTCATGTTTTTATCAAATCATAAAATTATGACAGATAATAACGTTAAAAAAGGCACTAAACTAAAATTACATTTTTAAATTTATCAAAAATAATATTTTAGTGTACAATTAACTAAATAAGCGACAATATACATGAAATGTAATTTTTTTGTTCATCAGAAAATTTCTTCCAATATTACTTTAACTAAATAAGCGACACTATACTTAAAATGCGTCACCTTATGAATTTACTTCTTCGTCATTTACGCAAAAGTTAAAACTGACACTAGCGTCCTCTAGGGAAAAGTATTTAAACTAAGATAAAATGTCGTTTATGCAATAAAAGCGCTTTCTTTCAAGGAATCTAAATGTCGTTGTAACTCAATATCGCTCATTTTAGTATAATGCCACTTTTGTTTTCAAGGTGCGAAATGATATATACAGTTGTAGACAATGAAATAGGGTAAGTGAAGAATGACAAAATGAAAAAAAATAGATGATGGTTGTCTAAAATAGAGAATGAATACATCTCTCACATGAAAGTTACTTGTTACGTGTAATATGAATCCAATGCAAAATTTGAAGATATGCAGTTCTTATCTCTCATAATATTGACATTGAATTTATTGCAGTATTTTTAGATATTGGAAATTGAAACTTATACCAGTTTAGAATCAGTCGATAGATAGCTTTCACTTCCTTGAAATACGTTTGAAATTGAATTGCAAGTTTTTGTGTGTACCAATTTTTTTGAAATGTAAGTGACATTGGTTATTAAAATAATATAATTGAATGTATTATTAGTTATCGGTCAATTATTCCAGATTTGGTATATTCTTGAATGGATTTCAATTATTATCAGTTATGATAACTATACAATTTTCCCTCTGCAAATTTAATTCGAAACGCATTTCTCTACACGACAACTTCATCAGTTGAACTGGTACATCAAACTATTCTACAATGTAATTCATATAACAGGTAATTTCGAAACTTAATAAGATGAATGAATAATTCGGATAAAACAGGTAAATTTCAAAAAACAATTATAATATAACATCACTTCTAGCAAAATAGATAATTATAAATATGTTGATTATCGCCATTTTATGAAAACAAGTTCAACAATGGTGAGTGATCGACTTCTTGTCGGTTGTTTAAAAAACATCTGAATTTTTGGTGTCATTCATTTTCTGAGATTCCAACAGGTTTCATTTCTGACCTTAACTGTCTGTATGTATTAGGTTGTTTCAAAAGTTTTGTCCGTTTTCATGAGTCAACTTCGAAGTGTAATGTCTGAGTGAATAATCATTCGTTTATTGAAATTTTTTCGTATCTGTGAAAATATATCCAATTTTCATTTATAGCGAGTCTAATATTTCATTGAGAATAGTGGTGTGTGTTTGCGCTTTGAAACCTGCTATGCTGGGTTCCTCTCGTCAAGAAAGTAAATGAGAATTTTCAAATTGTTGTAATAAGCGTCTTTGATGCTTATTAGTGATGCACACTATGAATTTCAATTCTGAGTGTGAAACCTGCTGTTTTATTTTTTGTATTATTATAACAAATGACTGCGTATTAAAGTAAGTTACATGTCGTACAAAAATCGAAACCGAACTTTCGGTCGGACACTACGTTATTTTATTTATAACGAAACATGTCAACGCGAATGAATAAGAGTTATGAATTGATTTTATTTTAATTTCACATTTATTATATATGAAAGTGTTTTACCATTTATACCGTTTATAAATTGAATTTTTGACAAAGTTCTGGAGTAATGAAGCTTCATTGTGATCCACAATCAAGTAATGCACGGGCTATGACGAAATCGTTTTTGCGATCTGAAACGTATACTTGCGATGTTGATAAAATAGTATTTCGTACTGCTGCTATATTACACTGAGTCAATTCGCCTGCCTGCGATGCATTTGCATCTTGCTGTATGATCGTTATGGCGTTCACGTTTCCATCATTTTCACGAGTTTCGTGTAAAACTGTATTGTGTTTACCGTTGCATTTTTCACACCCACTCAATATGGAATCCTGAATTTGATGATTGCGACGTAAACAATTACTGCATAATTTAAGTTGTTTAATTTACTTATGATGCACTGTTTGGAACCTTTGGTGTAGTAATGAATATTACTGGAGTTTTTTCCCAACACCAAATCGTTCGTTCCACTACAAGCTTTTACACTCGACGTTATCCTTACGAAGTCTCGAACTCTTAATCTAAGGTGTGGACGATACTGTCATCTTCATTTTCTTCAGGTTGGAAATTTTACCCTTCAAACTGTTTTTCGTCAGGAGGAAGAGTGGTTCACAACTGAAAGTGTTTTTTGGTGACGACATAAAGATCAATGACCTCTATGCCGTCCTGACCTTGTGTACCCCTTCCTGACTGAGGTATTTCATGAACAAACTGTTCATGAAATACCTCGGGAGGGGTCGTCTATAGTATAATCTACAGCTTCCCTAACTAATGGGTTATCATGCGTTTCCGCTGACTCGAAAACTCTCTGATTCCTCGACTGAATGGACTGCTGTATAGTTAACAGCTTCAAATATTTGCGGATGTCTTCATTCCGCACGGACCATGGAGCATTCACCAGCCTCCCAAGAAGTTTGTTTTGCAGTCTTTCCAAAATGGAAAGATTTGACGGAGCAGTTTGTCCCCAGGCGCCTGTAGCATACATCATGACATCGTATTGTATAGTAGAATCTTATTTTTAAGATTGAGCTTTGAGTTTCTGTTAATCAGAGGATAGAGTTTTGCTATGCTCGACTGCACTTTGCTCTTGATATAATCAATGTGATTTACCCAGGTGAGTCGGCGATCTACCCACAGACCTAGGTACTTAACTTGCGTTTGCCATTCGATCTCCCTGCCTGAAATCGTGACCTTTGTGTCTGGAGAAACATTACGTCTCCCCAAGTCTATCGCCTGGGTTTTATCTGGATTCACCCGAATCTTCCAGTCAAGGTACCAGCGTTTGAAGTCATCCAAGGCGCGTTGCATGTAGACGACCGCCAACGCTCGACCCATGGAATAAGTGAGAAGAGCCGTATCATCGGGGTAAAGGAAAACCTTCACGTGATCGAACCTCGGAAGGTCGCTCACGTAAAGGCTGTACAATAGTGGAGACAGCACAGCTCCTTGAGGCACTCCAGCCTGGATTTTCCTGACGGGAGACAGGGTTCCTTCGACTCGGATCTGAAATGTTCTGTCTTTTAGGAAGGACCTAATCCATCGGATCAGGCCCCAAGGCAGGTCGAAATCGAGCGTTTTGTGTAGCAGGCCTTCATGCCACACTTGGTCGAAGGCTTCCGAAATGTCCAGGAAGACTAGATGAACTGTCTTCCTATTGTTAAGCTCTGAGATGGAATTTTCGACCAGTCTGAGGGCCTGCAACTCGGTGGAGTGTGCCCTCCCGAAGCCGAATTGTTCATCAGGCAGAACATTTTGGTCTTCAACTTCTGTCATCCTTTGCAGCACAACACGTTCAGCCAACTCAGCCGTTGAGCAATGCAGACTAATCGGATGATGATTCTGGCAAAACAGCGGGTTCTGGCCCTGTTTCGGAATCATGACGCTTACGGCATGCTTCCATCTTCGGGGGAAGTATCTGAGGGCGATTGAGCTGTTGATTATATCCAGCAGGTAACTGATGAAGTTCTCCGGAAGCTGCTTCAACAACCTATTGCTGATTGAATCAATTCCCGGAGTCTTCTTAGGTTTAGAGGCTATAATGTACCCCCTCAGTTCTTCCTCCGAAGCTGAACTGATCACGTCGTCATCATTTCCCCTAAGGATGCGCCGAACCCGGTGTTCCAGCCGGATATCACGGTCAATATCATCATCCGGATCATCGATAAGTCGAAACTGACTCTTCATTGTGTCTGTAAAGGCCAACGCGTTCTCGGCGGGGGAGTAGCAGATGCCGCGCTGAATGTGAAGAGGGAAGGTAGCGGTTTTCCTCTTCTCGAACCTGCGGATGACTCGCCACAGCTCGTCGTCCCCAGGTTCGAGCGATTCCAAACACTCGCTCCACCTCTTGTTTCTGTAGTCAGTGATGGCCTGTTTAACCTGATTGGCCATCCTGCTAGTCTCAGCCTTGTCTGCAGGGTAGAGAGTCCTCTGATAAACTCGTCTGAGTCGATTTCTCTCTCGGATGAGGTTCTCTATCCTGGGAGGAAACTCATTGTAGCTTCGCAGAGGACACTCTGTCCTGGTTGTGGCTGCACGGAAAGCGTTGTTCACAGACAATTCGAAATCCGCCACCGCCGCGTCGAGACCGTTGCAAGTTTGAAGCGCCTCACAGTCTGTGCGTGTCTCCACTAGGTGAGCCTTGAAGGCTTCCCAATCCGTGGATGATCTCATGCGATAAACCTGGGAAGGGGGATCATCACCCAGCATCAGGATGACTGGATTATGATCTAAGTTAAGTTACGACAAAGTGTACACTTCGCAGGACATGGAGACGTTCCTGAGCAGGCCTTCACTCGATACTCATGCCTGTCATAATGCGCAAGGAGCGCTCGGCCGTTCGCATTGGTGAGTCTGCTACACAGATTGTGCTTGGCGTTGAAGTCACCAGCAGCAATTGTGGAGATATTTGTCGACATCAGCAGTTGATCCAGTGATTCTGGGAGTAGAAGATTCCGCGGAGGGTTGTAAACTGAGATTAATCTATGACGACCTCTTCTCAGTTGGAGATCAACGCCCACGGCTTCCGTGCTATGTAACTGATCCGAGTCAATGCCAAATTGTACGTGAGGAAGATAACGTTTGACAAAAATGCCAACTCCTCCTCCAACACGTCCAACGCGTTCTCTATGGTAAAAACGATAGATTGGAATACCAAAAGGTTCATTGTGCAGGTAGGTTTCCTGCACAAATGCAACATCGATGTTATGTTCTCTCAGGAAGTTTTCAAAGTCATGTTTTTTGTTTGAAATACTATTGGCATTCCAAAATAAAACCTTAAGAGAGCTAGGCAATGTAAGTTGTCTAGCCATTAACAAGCTCCAGTTAGCACGTCGGTGTTCACCGTGAATATTTTTTAAAGTACGGGAAACTGAATGAAGAGTTTTTTCATCTAGTCCAGGGCGGACCTAACCTTCGACGGACGAGGACTAGAAGGAGCCACGGTTGGCCTGGCGGAGGTGTTACCGCTCTTGACCGCTCCTGCATAGCTCATTCCCGGGCGTGTGCCAGATGCTCCGACAGGGCGCCTTCCAGGTGTGGGTGCGTTTCGGAGGCATTTGCAGCTACTTTGGTCCTCCTGCAAACCTTGGGGAACTCAAGACAACCTTGGTAGTTCGCAATAGTTGCAGTTATTGCATTTTGGAGGATCTGCTCGCAGCTTCTTGCACCCACCTGAAAGGTATCTGCCGGCGCACTTGAAGCATATGGGNCACTTTTTGACAATCTTCTTTGGCGCCGGTATTTCTTACTGCCTGAGAGGCTGGTTTTGAAGAAGAAGGAAGAGAAGGAAAGTCTTCCGGGAGTCTTCGTTTCTTGTTTGCCGGTTCGTTTGGCTTAGTCGCAGTTTTGGTTTCAATCTCTGACTGCGCAGAGAGGTAGCAGAAGGAAACTTCCCTTGGCGGACGCTCAAGAAGCTCCCTGACCCCTGGTGAGGGGCCAGAAGGCTCCCCAATCGACGACCCGGGAATGCCTCTTAGCAGCTCTGATGGGCTCAGGCCCAGACGGTCAAGTAGAAGGCCTATGAAGTCAATCACTTCACCCCTGCTAGACAGCCATCAGGCTGTCTAGCAGTTCCTCCATACTGCTGTCGAAAGTCTCACACCCTTTGTTGTCCTAAGGGTAGGTGATGGTATAATGAACAGTTCCGTGAAATGATAAGTCTGAACGCACTCATCAGAAGTCCGGGCGGTTCTTGCACACTACAACCAGCGCACTCACTACACAAGAGATTAACTACTGGTGAACGGCTGATCATCCACCAGAAACAATCGTTTATATGGAAATAACTTGGAAAATTTCGTAGCGAAAATTATTCTGTTTGTCAGTTTGACAGCTAATGTCAGATTTTTGAGGTGTTGATGGGTGTTCGGTACAGAAGCGGAAAGGTGGGGGCGAAGCTTTGGGTGATTACCATCACCGTACGTTTCGGTGGGGGGTGAGCATCGGGAAATTAGGGGTTTCCAGTCAATTGGAAGTCTTTGACTGTCATCACGTTTGTTCAGGCAGAACGGTCGCTTTTCGATTTAGATGGTCCCGCAAATTATCCGAGCTTGTAGTGTTTTCGCTGTGGCGATGGTCTTAGTGTTCGCAAAGTCTGTGTTGTGTCCCGTCTCATGATGATGTTTTGATAGTGCTGAGGATTGATCTGACTTTTGGACAGCAAGTTGATGTTCGTATACTCTACTTGTCACACGTCTATTGGACTGGCCTTCATATGTTCTATCGCAATCGGAGCATGGAATTTCATATATTCCCTGAGATTCATTGATGATTTTGTCCTTGGGTGAACGAAGGAATGTGGAAATTTGATTGTTGGTGGTAAATATCGTTTTTATGTCGTGTTTTTTGGGAATTTGGCCAATTTTGACAGTTACACATTTAATGTAGAGAAGGAAAGCTTTGTGAGGAACGTTGTTGTCTTTTGGATCTTTGGGCCTGGACGAAGAAGTTTGTTGACGACGGATGGATCTGTCAATTTGATGGTGTGTGAATCCATTTTGAAGGAGACCTGATTTGATTTGGGCTAGCTCTTGTGGTTTGTTGTGGTGGTCTGGACATAAAAACGATATTCACCGCCAACAATCAAATTTCTACATTCCTACGCTTTCCCAAGGACAAAATTATCAATGAATCTCAGGGTATGAATGAAATTCCATGCTCTCATTACGATAGAACATGAAGGCCAGACCAACAGACGTGTGACAAGTAGAGTATACGAAAATCAACTTGCTGTCCGAAAGTCAGAGCCATCCTCAGCCCTATCAAAACATCATCCTAAGACGGGACACAACACAAACTTTGCGAACACGAAGACCATCGCCACAGCGAAAACACTCGAGCCCGGATAATTCGCGTGAACATCGAAATCGAAAAGCGACATTTCTGCCTGAACAAACGTGATGACGGTCAAAGACTTTCAACTGCCTGGAAACCCCTAATTTTCCGATGCTCACCCCTCATCAAGACACCCGGTAATGGTAATCAACCGAAGTCCCACCTTTCTGCTTCAGTAGCTTCCGTCGATATAAATACCACCGACACCTCAGTTCAATCTAAGGAGTAGGCAGATTGAGACCTTAGAGAGAACCCGCGACGAGACCTGAGGAGTAGGCAGATTGAGGCCTCGGCGTCAAGTCAAATAAAATTCTTAAAAATGGCTCCAAAATGGGAGCCGAAACGTCGAATACAAAACTCCAGACGCGATTCAACCCAAACTCAAGGACAACATATGTATAGTTGTATATAGATGATTCAGTGAGTGGATTTGAAATAAATAATCAAAGGCAGGGAACACTCATGGCCGAAGCACTCGAAAAAATATGCAAACCGCAGGCACGTGTTTCTAGCTCATTAGCTGTCATCAGTACGGTATAGCCAACTGCAAGATTAGGCAACAATTGGTTGCAGAAACAATACAAATGCACGGAGTCATCCAACAGAAGCCAGCCGCACTTAGTGGTTTCGGTAAGGTCATCTCGGGTGACTTGAGTGAAATCCCCAACCCGGCTTCTTCGAAAGAAAAGATGTCATCGCCTTTTCATACGTTGTAAAGGATCATGAATGTACTCTGGTATCATTTAATAGTTGTCAAAATCAGTTTTGTGAAAATAATATGTAGGGATGTTCAACATGAGACTATTTTCTCGAAGTTGATAAAAGTATTCATCTGTTTTTACCCACGAGAAAATGGATTTCTGCAGACAACTTGGAAAAATTGTACAGGGATTCCTTTGTTTCTCCCAATTTGATGAGATATAAACAAAATTTGAAGTCATTAATATTTTGAAAATATAAGTTACAGAATGTAAGAGCTCAACTTGAAAGTAGATTTGGAATGAGTGATTTATTTGATTCAGTATATCCGTTATTTGGGAATGAGACGAATTTTTCAAGCGACCCTCATACAAAATGACTCAATGCTAATTATAGGAATGTTATATCTTATGAACTTATGAAGATGAAATATGAATATGTGATAATTCACTGTATGTAACGAACATGATAACTGACTATAATCTTCATTCCATCATTTCACGAAACCATATATGAACATTCAAGTTATGTCAGAATATTTCGATTTTCAGGACCTGGAAACTACTACATATTTTTCTTGTTATGAACCTGTTGAACTATTGTGAAGCAATTTGTGAAGACACTGAAGAAACAGAAACTACTCATGTACTTCAACATTATGATAACTACGGACGATACGTACCTGAACAAACTAGTGTATCACTTATCAACTTGACAGTTGTTTGTCAAGAAGTTGAGCTACCAATGACCTGGTCTAAGGAAAGCGGTTCAGAATATGATTGTGAAAATTGCCCCAAAGTGATGAAAATTTTCAACTCAAATATATCTACCATCCCTTCGTCTGCTTTTGAAGGATTATCAAGTTTCACAGTTCTGCGGATCAGCAATGTTCGTTTGGAAAAATTGAAGCCAGGTGCTTTCAACTCCTTGCATTATTTGGAAGAGTTGTATCTAAACGATAATAAGTTGACATCCATAGGGGCAGGAATTTTCAATTCTTTGACAAATTTAAAAATTTTGGATCTGTCTATTAACAAAATTGAAAATATAGATATTGACACCCTAACAGGATTGCCAAATTTGAGAGAGTTGAATATATCGTCAAATCGCTTAGTTTCTTTCGAAAGTGCTATTCTGGATCAAAATATACTATTACTTGAATATATTGATTTGAGTTCCAATCTGTTAAAAAATATTGACATTCCCACAGTTTCTACTAAAATAAAGAATATGGATCTTTCTATCAACAATATAAGTGAACTAAACTTCTGCCCTTTCGAATTAGAATCACTGAAAATCAGTAATAATGATATTGCATGTCTGGGAAATTCGCATTGTTCAACTATTTTTCGAATTGTTAACTTTGATGCTAGTTACAACAAAATTGCAGAATTGAATTCTAGCATATTTTTGAATCTGACTGATCTAAAATACTTGTATCTGGAATTCAATAACATTTCTTCAATTCCAACAGGACTATTCTCAGATATGAAAAAGTTAAAGGTACTGAATTTGTCACATAACCAACTTCAACAATTTCAACACGGCACTTTCGAAAATTTGGAAAACTTAGAGATTCTGGACATATCATATAACAAAATTATCACATTGAAAAGGTATTTGCATCCTCTTATAAATTTGAAGAAATTATACATACAAGGAAACAAAATAATTTTTTTGAATGGGGAACAACTATCAACAGATTTACCAAGCTTATCCTTTATTTCTTTGGAAAGTAATACTTTTTCTTGCAGTAGACTAATCGAGGTGATAGCCAGTTTCCGAAAGAACGCAGTGGTTGTAGAATATGGTAAAGCTAAAACCATATCTAATATCCATGGAATTACTTGTTTTGATGACGAACATTCTAAAGATTCATCAACTAGGGCGACAGTTGATGTGAGTTCAAAGTTTGATAACATCCTTTCAAAATTACAGCAATTATTGAACGGAGATTTGAGAAAGTCTGTTATGAACGATTACTTCAACAAAGAGTTCAAAAACAGCAGCTTCTATAAATACTTGGAAAGTTTTCACAGGGTGGATTTACCAAAATTCAATGAAACTGCCCTATTTCATTATCTGAATGATGGATTCGATAATAGTAAATTTTTCAAATACTTGGAAGGTTTGGAAAAAAAAGATAATTCTACTAACGAATTCAATAAACGTGTGCTCGAGTTACTTGATAGTAATACGAAGAACTTTACTGAATATCTGAATGAATCGAAAAAAAATGGTGATATTTTTCTTTCTAAAAACGAAATGTATGATTATTTCAATGAGAATTTCAGGAACAGTTCATTTTATAAATACTTGGAAAACTTAAGGGTTTCTAACGATATTTTTTCCAGAAGTTTTGTCAGTGCCGAGGGGCCATCAGATTTTGTACTTGGAAATGAAAACAGAGACCTACTTTTAACTATAGTAATATTTTTAGTGGCTATATTTCTGATTATGATAGTGTTTCTATACCTAGGTTTGAGAAAAACATCACGTGGAAATGTTGAACGTGTAGAACTTCTCGAATCTTGATACTTCATCACTGAATGTTTGTAAATAAACATCGATAATATTATTAATACGTTGTTTTTTTATATTGAATTTCAAATACCATATTTGGTTTGATGTACAAAAAAAGACAATATCTACTTGCTCAGGATGCGTATTCAAAAGATATGTTAGAATGTCATATATTTTGAAATGTATGAAGTCGTTTGTGATAACATGAATATCTCTACAGGAGACAATTTTACATTTCTTCTGCATTTTTGAAATTAAATTCACTACCATACTCACTTCGAATATTCTGATTGATACTAAGAGTAGAGGGTATATGTGTTGAATAATATGCCAAGTTTGAGGATAATAAATATAGTCAGTAGCAGATTACGGCCGTTTCTGGGCCTCCCCCTACCACTATGACGTAATAATTGCTTTTTTTTTGTTTAGTAAAATCAAAGCGATGTGACCTTGAAGTTTCTGGTGCATGGCTCATTCAGAATTTTTTCATATGAGATTTTGTGTGTGTGTGTGACATAATGACGTAATTACATTTGGTTGGTGTGTGTGTGTGAGAATACACGGTACAGGGTTTATCATGTGCGTGTCTGCGTACAAACATACTTCTGCACACTTCGAAAATCCTCCAAGTAATGAATGTTCCATTGGTGTGAGCCCACCAAGTTAGTAGTGGTGTGACATCACAGCAGCAACCGTTCAACAGTAAGAGAGCGAGATGTTCACTCCACGACGTGTGGCTGAATATTGCGATTTCATCGGTGTGTCCTCACCTCTCTCTCGATGCGGTGATGGCTGTGCCGTAACACATCGCTCTACCCTCACTGTCGATGGTGACGCGCAGGCGGCGAGGACTATATTAACGTCTGCCCTCTACGATGGCGCAACAACCATTGTCTGTTCGTATCGATATCTGTTAACGCATCTAGCTGATAGGTTGGGTTAATGTATGTAGCTGAGAGGTGGAGTTGGCTATGACGTCTTGATGGACTCGATCAGACTGTATTTAAGAAGCGGACCAGTGTTGGCTATGACTCTGACTCTGACTCGACTCGACTCTTCTTCTCACTCTGAATGATATTGGCGTATTCATACATCTCTCCTTGCCATCAAAGTTGGCCTAATTATCCCTACTCATATCTTGGTGTACGTGAGAAGGCCACTGGCTTACATTATCGAATTTTTTATAAATATTCCGCAACAGGATGATACACAAAGAAATTGCTGAGTAACCATCTGTAAATTGTGCAATACCCATTAATTTTAACGAGTTCCTCGTGCTGTTTATGGTCCAAAACTGGATACTCGTGTGACCTCGTTTACATGGCCTTCCACATGTTGAACTATTGCATCATCAGATATGTTGAAATTTCCCTCTCTTCTGACTGAGTCACGTTTCAGTTTTCAAGATTTCATAATTTAATTTTCTTTCTTGCTGAGTGGTTCGAATGTCTAGGGCTAGGTAAGTGCACTTTTGATTGAATCCTAACTTCGATTTTGAAAACTCATATATTCATTTATTGATATACATCGTTATCGCGGTTGACTTACGATATTATTATAACTTGAGCTCAAATAGATCAAAATTATTTATGGGGTTGTTACAATCGTCCCTCCTTTGAAAAGAATTGTGACTGTTGTTTAACAATTACAATTGAATAAAAATAAATCAATTTACTTCAAAAAGAATTTTGAAATATCCCTCCATACTCAATTCTAGACATGTCATTCAACTGTTTCCAAAATCTAAGTTTCAACGCCTAACACTTATCATTTTACCATTTTCCTGGTCTAATTCTTACACATCTATTTAATAGTTACAAAGTGTTGACGAAAATATTTGTACAAGATCGTCTATTCGTTTCAAGAACTGAATTCTACTTTTGGTTTATTTACATACTTGAAGCACCACATAGGTTTTATTGCATTTATCAGCTGAGAGCTATATGATTTTTTTCCAAATTACCCCTTCTTATTTGTCATTGAACTTCAATTGCCTTAGTTTTTATAAAATTATTAGTTTTCTTTTACACACAAAAATTTTTCATTTATGCTCTCCATAAAAGTTATGTTTTGGAAAAATATTTTTTTCATACAGAGGGTATCTAGTTGAAATACCTTTCCTTTTCAGTTGAATAAAACATGTTTTTTTTATAATGCATGATATCAAATTTCTATGACCTAGTAAAATCCTATACTCAATATGCTAACGATTATATACTGAATTGATATGGTAAAACTCAATATTAAAAAGGTATGAAACTCAAATATTTCTATGATATAAAACTATTCTACGTCCAATAACACAAAGTTCTTAACTAAATATCAACTCTAAGTATATGGTCCATTTTTTCTTTGGGTTTTTTTTTATAACTATTCAGAGTCACGTTAATTACCCGAAACCAATCTCTTCTTCTGGGGGCTAGATTCTCTGCTATGCTGAGTGATGGGGACATCTCGATCGAGAGTGAACAGGGCCATGGGCTAGCAGTTGCTGGGGCGGTGAAGGTCTCAGCTCGAAAGATCGTTGAGCGTCTAATGGGGAATATGGGCGCTCTTGCCAGTAACGGTTGGCAACTTCAGGAAAGACCAAGTCTTCTAGGGGATGATGATCTCTTCTGGCTGGCTGGTTGATCCTGCATACATTGCATCGACAGACCCTGGTTGCCTGTTCTGGACCTTGGTTCGGGATTGGTTCCTCCAGTTGGTTTGGGATCGGCTCTACTCTGGGGGGTGGTAGTTCCTCCATACTTTGTCCGGGGTTGCATCCAATACAATGGCATCCCTGTATGCCTAACTGGGTAGATAACCGGGCTAATTCGTTTTTGGTTTTGCCTCGTTATATAAATACGTTTTTTGTTCTGAGTGACTATTGTCATTTTGTTGAGCTGTTCATCACTGTTTATTTAGTCGCGGGACACGTTCTGTTCATGATAAAACTTAATTTTTCTTACGTGCTCACTCCACATTTTAATATTGAAATAGCTGATTTTGCATTTCCTTATTTTTACTGAACTCATATCCCAGGCCTATATTAATTACTTCCTCATGCGTCCTTCATATCTATCTATTTGAACTCCACGTGCATCAATGTGGCTCTGTCACTACTTGTGATGATTCATTTTGTAATTCATATCGCTGAACTGCATTCTCCGGTGTAGGTAATTTATTCGGTTTATTTTGAATATCTGCCGATAAATTTGATCGAATGGTTATACTTTCTGCCGTATACTTTTTTTCCTTAGGGGACCTTTTCCATTGTCTCTCATTTATTAAAAACATCGTTACAGTATCGCAACATGATAGTATCATGTGCCAGGAAAATCCCTTCAGCTGATGTATCGCAATAGCATTCAGGGCAATTTCAATTACACACTTCAGTAGCTGGAAACAGAAGTACAGTCCTTAAAATGCACTAGTAAAATTTCCCAAAAATAAAAACCAGCCATACAACTTTTGTATCGTATCATCGGCCATCTTTTTCAAATCTTCGGGGTTAAATGAATTTATGGCCGAATATCTTTGATTATCTACAAAAGCACGCGCTGTGATATTTGGAACGTTTATTTACATACTGGCATCGTCTGATGGAGTGCATCGACCTATTCATTACTAGTGAAATATTTCGTGGCGAAATCTGTACCTTTCTATTCTGTTTCATTATATTTTTTTTCATTTCCAGTGGCGTATCTTATGATGGTTTTAGTTTTGATATATTTAAATTTTGGTTATCATTCTTTCTGCTGAGTTCTCAAATTCTTTGGTTCCGTATCCAAGGGTATTCTTGTACAGGTCCCTGAGATCTGGTACTATATCGGTGAGAATATTCTTTTCTTTCTCTATCAGATTCGCCTTCAAAACCATTTTCTTTCTGTTCCTTTTCGCTATCGGATTGATCTGAACTATTTCTTTGCGTAATCTCTTCGAGGATTCCTGCTACTTCTTTGTTTGTCGTTGCTTGCTTTGTGTCTGCTTCATAGGCTCGTGCTATGACCGTTTTTCGTTGAACTAACGAATCCGTTTCTAAAATAGTCATGATTTGGATAGGGATCTCTCTTGCTACCTTACATACTGATCTGGCTACCATAAGTCCTTGTCTTACTTCTGCGCTTTCTATTACTATATCATCCGTTGACAGTGAGGTAATTCTCTTCAGTTTCGCCATACATATAGTCGTAGTTCTAGGTGGTACTTTTAGATCCTTGGATGAATAGACTGCCACACCTGAAGTAACAGTACTTTTGGTTTCACAAGTGCTCCCTAGAGCTTGGTCCTTGTGTCCAAAATTGCTACTGGTGGAACTCGCTACGTTGATTTCAACTTTCTCTATCTCCTCTTGTTTTTCCACTACTTCCTCTTTTATTATTTCTCCTTTTCTTTCAATCATACTTTTCTTATCCTTGCTTTTCGCAACACTCCTGTAACTTCCAGTACTCTCTGAGCTTACTCTATTCTTCCTATTGTCTCCATTACTTCCTTGAAACTTCTAATCATTTTCCTTATCTTCTTCCTTTTCATCGTCTCCTGTGACGGATTTTCCGGTACAAAGTTTTACTGATGAACAGGAATTGATCAGATTCCTAGCCTGCATAGTTTGTGATCAATTCGAGCGTTCTAAGATATTGATGTTATTCGAGGGGCCGTCAAACTCCCGAACAATGTAATCCTTGGCCATTGGCGGTGACCTACGATTTGCTTCGCTCTCAAATTTCCATAAACTATACGCTGTATGTTCATCAGAACTTCTCTCATTTCTTTCAATTCCTCCACAATTTCTTCTTGTTGTTTCTTCGAGACACTCTGTCTTCCTTCTTTCTCTGTTTTCCCAATTACTCTCTTCTCTGTCAACAAATACATGTAGCCGTTTCCCCAATCTATCTATGCTCCAAATTTCTTCAAAAAATCCAATCCCAATAGTATATCAGCATCAAAATTACCAGCTTTCATCACAACAAACTCATGCTCAATTATTTTGTCCTGGCGTAAAATAATCGGTAATCTAACTTCTCCCAATTCGGGTATTCTTTGTCCTTGTATGTCAACCAAATCAAAACATTTCTCT